CTGTTGACAATATGTATGCTATATATTATCTGCATTGTTAATTGAAAAAAATGCTATTTGCAATATTTTAGCAATTTCATATATTTGTTAGCAATATTTTCAAACTATTTGAGATTAAGCTCAGGTAAGGATTACTGAGTATCCCATATAAGCAACTTTTAATCGAGTTATGGTCATGCTAACTAGGTAACTTGAATAAAAAAATATGGCATTTATAATACGAATATCTTCTTATTTTTTTATAAACCAAATTTAGTAAAACTGAATTTAGTTTATGCTAAGTTTAGCAGGAAATGAATTCGTTTTATACTAAACTTAGCATAAAATAAATTTGGTTTATACTAAACTTAGCATGAAACAAATTCAGTTTTATGCTAAGCTTAGCATAAAATAAATTTGGTTTATGCTAAGCTCTTAGCATGAAACGAATTCATTTATGTTAAACTTAGCATAAACTGAAATCATTTTCTGCTAAGAGCTTAGCATAAACCAAATTTATTTTATGCTAAGTTTAGTATAAAACGAATTCATTTCCTGCTAAACTTAGTATAAAATGACTTTTGGTTAAAAGCTAAAATCCGATAAATGATTCATAAATCTAGTATTGCTAGTTAAAAAAGTTTTACATATATAGTTTGGTTAAAGTGAAATACCAGGAACGGAGTACAAAGTATGTAGAGTATGGTTTACAGGCATCTGAAATGACGTGTTTCTTTTTTATCTGATTGGTTGTTCTATCTTGTGACTTCATTTTGTGATTTCTAGATTTTTACCTACAAAGCTTTTTGTCTATTGAAATATGATAAAAAAAAAAAAAAAAATGTGAATTAAATGTTTGTGATCAGATAATTATCTTTTCTAGATTATTAAATAATGTTAATTTCTCTATTTATTATCTTGGCTTTTTACCTTATCATACATTTATTAAATTATTCTTGATTTTACCTATTTTTGTTCACTGTTCTGACCATATCATTATATCATATAAATTTTCTTTAAAATTTATTTGTATTGGTGTAAATTTTCCGGCTTATTAATCTCACTTGTTTTGGATAAATCAGGCTTGTTGCTGTACTGGTTTACTCTGTTAAATAGAAAATTTTCGTATACAGTATCAAGTAGTTTGAACTAGTCTGCAAAGTCTAGTACATATTCGTAATGATAATAATGTTATGATATATTTGTGCTATATTTAGCATATGTGCATTATTTTTCTATATTGATACCTGTTATAATGACATAAGCAATCATCGTTATGTACGGTTAGACTAATATAGTACTAAGGTATTTTCTAATAAGAGTAATTTTCTGTTTTATTAATGAATTGTCTACTGGTAAATTACATATATCGTGAAATTTTCTATTTTATAATTTATGATCTTGATTTGGATAAATGGAGCTTGTTGTTGTACCAGTTTACCCTATTAATATTGTATACGTACCTATGCCAAGTTGGTGACCTACAAATAAACTTGATTATGATAAATGGACTGTACGTACATTTCTATATTTGATTATGGGCATAAAAATGTTTATTTGTTATAGATTAAGTTACTCCTCTTAATTATACAAAACTTAAAATAAATAGCAAGATAAATTTTTTTTATTTTAAAATATAGAGTAAATACTACTATTTAATACTTAGTATAATCTCTATCTGATCTTATTAATGCTAAATCCGATTCTCTATACTTCTGACTAAATTTAAAGCAAACGAATCTGGAAGTTTGTTGCATTCATTTGTGATTGCCTGCTTCAATGAAATAACTGATCTAATTTTTTTTTTGTATTTTAATTTTTAGGACTTGCAACACATTCTCTATCAGATTTTGATCTAAAGAATATGATAGCTATGGAAGTACCTTGATACCATTTTCTTCCTTCTATTTTTTTGCTATAATTGAACAGTGCTTCAGATCATTATCTTCTTGGAGGTACCAGTCTGTGCAATCTATACCATAAAACTCACATGCAGAGGTTATAAGACCCTTTTTATAAATTTTACATATATAGTCAGCATTTAGATTACGAGTAAAGGAAACTAACTTACCAAAGCCTAAGACCGAAAAACAGCTCTAGACATGAACCTTCTATAGATGCTTCACAGTTCAAAGTACTTTTCACCTTCCAATATGCTGTCAGATTTTTTTTTTTTTGTATAAAATAGTTGAAAAGTACTTTTATCAGTAAAAATAACCTTGTCCCACTTAAACTTTTGATGTTTTATTGCCCATTCCAAGTGCTTTGCTCGATGCTTATTGCTAAGTAGTAGTTTTCAAATTGTATTCATAAATTTGGCCCTAGATTCAACAAGATGACGTTTAATTATACTTTCACTAATTTAAATATCTTGTTTTTCAAGTTTTTTTTTTATTTCTGCACTCGTAACATAGGTTTGGCTTTCAGCCAACTTTGTAATCTTTTTATCTTAGGTAGAAGTTGTGATATGATGGCAACCATATCTTGGTCTATCAGTTAAATCCTTGTTTTGGTGAAATTTTTGAAGTACTTTAATAATAGCGGTCTTATTATAGCTAACATAAGTAGCTGTTTTTTCAAGACCAAACTTTGGTCCTAGGGGATGTTCATGAAGAAAGATGATTTCATAT